AACGCCGGTCAATCGACTAGAGAATCTTTACTGAAACCTGAAAATACAAACTAAAAAGATGATAACTTTGCGAATAATTCGTGCAGTAGTAATAATGCCTCGTTTCAGAATCTCCGACAATATCTATCTACCCATCATTTCAATTTCACTTACGGTTACAATAATGAAGCTGTCCAAACTCAAAATTAATCCGAATATGTTAATCTCTAAAGCTGGCTTGAGATCAAAATAGAATGTCTTGCTGGCAAGAAGCATTTTAAATGTAGTCAAAAGGCTACAAATTTCAATCGAAAGCAGCCAGAATTATTGTTTGATTTCTTCAAGTCGAAAAGCGCTCAGTGATGCTTGCCAAGAGATAATCACTCGCAATTAATGGTTTCAGATAGATAGATAGATAGATAGATAGATAGATAGATGTAAACAGACCGAGATAGATAGATAGATAGATAGATAGATAGATATGAAAAGAATATGCTATGCTTAATTAATTTATACGAAACAAAATAATAATAAACTAACACGTCAGCGAAGAGAGGTTTTCCTTTTGTTTATTAATATATATATATATATATATATATATATATATATATATATATATATATATACATATAAATATAGATAACTAGACTCGTTTCGAAAAAACCCTCGAATTTTTGATTTGCTAATCAAATCAATCTCGAGGAAAAAAAAGGTTTTAAAAAAGAAAGAGCTACAAACATGAACTGCTGCCGAAAAAAAATCGTACAGATGCAGGTCTGAAGCCCAAAGAAAAAAACCCCAAACTTTCCCTGACGATTCGTTTAGGTGAAACCTAGGTAGGTTTGTCTGGTTCAGTAGGTGTATCTATATATATATATATATATATATATATATATATATATATATATATATATATATATATATATATATATATATATAAAATGGTAGTACTCGATTGGAAAAACCTTGGATATTTCGACTGGTAGTAAAACAAACCAGTACCCAAGGAAAAATGAGGAATAAAAAAAGAAAGAACCAAGAACCTGAAAGAAAGGCAAAAACAATCGTCTAGAGTTCAAGCTCAAAGTCCAAAGAAAAAAAAAACCTCCAATACGAGTAAAGGCAACTACGTAAAGTGCTAAATACACAAAGTAGAGTAAACCTAAGATAAACCTAAGAAGCCAGGCAAACCTACCTAGGTTTCACCTAAACGGAACTTCAGGGGCATGCTGGTCCTGACGATCCGGTTTATCTTAGGTTTACCGGTACTTTTGTGTATTTAGCACTTTACGTAGTTGCCTTTACTCGTATTGGAGGTTTTTTTTAATATATTATGCACCAATCGTTTTTCGAGTTTTTGAATAATTTTAATTTTACAATAACTGATTTTCTACTCATAGAAATTATTTGAAACTTTCAGATTATTAATACTATATAATTTACAAAATATTAAAAATAGCTCAATTGCTAAAGTTTAAAAGATAAAATTCAGCTGTCCTTATAATCATGCACCATACTATATATATATATATATATATATATATATATATATATATATATATATATATATATATATATATATATAAAAAAAAAACACACATACATACATACATATATATATACAAAAATTTTTTAAAAATAAAAATATGTAAGTAAATGTGTTTATAATAAACAGTATTAACTTAATTTACCGGCCTGAATGTCCAAGAAATTTAATAGAAAATCTGTGTCCTCCGACAGGAATCGAACCTGTATCCTACACAGAACCGTCATTTGACCTGACATGCTAATTCGCTACAGAGAAAGCGTCTGGTTCGCAAGGTCAAATTAATGTTTTTAAACAACAAATGACGTCAAGCCAAATGACGGTACCGTTGAGGATACAGGTTCGATTTCTGTCGGAGGACATATATTTTCTATGAAATTTCTCGGACATTCGGGCCGGAAAATGTAGATAATATTGTTTATTATAAACAGAGCATTTACTTAAATATTTGCATCTATAAAAAAAATAACGTATAAACAGAAAATATATTAAAATAACTGTCGGATTTAGTCTATTTCATTATATATATATATCGGCCTATAGATCGAAAATTTTAGTCATAAATGCGCCTTCTGTCTCTGTATGTCATTTTTAATCTGGAAAGGAACTTTCTAGTCAAGTGTACTTTACCATTAAGCTATGGAAAGCCATCACAGCAAAGTAATGCTGAATTCATTTATTTAGGAAATAAAGATCTATCTCTCGAATCTTTCAAAACCTATATTTGCTGACTTAATTGATGTAAGTGAAACGCAAACAAATTAATTTATAAGCAGTCAATTGATCTGTGTAATTCAACATTACTTCTTATTGCAATAAAGAATATAATTGGTGCGCACTTGTTCTTGAGTAGACAAGTATACCCACTTTATATCTGTATCTGTATGTATGTATGTGTGCACCAGGTTGTATGCGTGTGTGTTAGCTGGTCTTTCTAAAGACAACAGACAAGGTTTGTCTTAACAATATTCAGTATTTTTCTCTTATTATCGTACAATTTAACCTACAGTATGTTTTGCAGTAATTTATAACATATAACACAACTACAAAAACAATAATGACATTAATAACAACAGCAACAACAATGGCAATAAACTCGATAAAAACAGAAATATAATACTACTTACTAAGTCTTTAACATCCCCTATCTAAAACAATTTATCTGACCTTAATAATATCAAAATAATTAGAACCACATCCAAAATTATTATGCACATGATCAGAATAAAAATTATCCATAACATTGATAAGTTATATAAAGTGTATGACAGAAATACCTCCCACAGATACCTCTCAGAAATATCTCCACATAATGGTAAGGCGTTAGTGATAATTCTCTCTTCATCTAGATAATGTCTTACCATTATGCAGGCGGTATTTCTGGGTTGGGTATAGGTAGGAGGTACTTTTGCCGCATCCTGTATAAAATAAACTGCTACAACTGTTCCTTACAACATATTAGGAAATTGCAGATTTTTTTTTCATTTCTATTGTTACTACCTACACAATTTAGGAATTTAACAAGAGTTGTTTTTTACCTAAATCCTTTCGCACTAATCTCTGACAACCACCAAGGCAAAAATGGACGCATTCAAATGTCCTGGAGACTAGATTTGTATGAGTTAATAACAGTGCCATTGGCAACAAATATTAAAACTTAAAATAAAGGAAACAATCTCTTTTTAATGCTTCTGGCTTTCTCATGGAAAATTTTATGAAATCTAATAAGGATATTTCTTCACTTCCTGCAGCTCCTTATATAAAGGAACACATATATTCCTATGACTTGTTTCATGATAAGCGACAACGCATCATTGCAAATAATGGAGGATATATATTGTTATTATGCACATGATCAGAATAAAAATTATCCATAACATTGGTAATTCCGAAACAGGTATATAAAGTATGTGACTGAAATACCTTCCATATATACCTCCCAGAAATATCTCCACATAATGGTAAGGCATTAGTGGCAATGCTGTCTTCATCTAGGTAATGCCATACCATTATGTGGGGGGTATTTCTAGGGGAGTATATATGGGAGATAATTTCTGCCGGACCCTGTTATAAATGAAGTGCTGCTATCAAATATGGTCAAAATGTTTACCTTCGCACCGGATTTTTCAAATATCTCCTTTTCTAAAAGAAATACTGTTTTCCCAAACCAGTATACATAAGCATAAAAGCTTCTAAAAATTAAAACAACAGTTAAATCAAAAGCTTTTATCATTCAAAATAAACAAATAACTAAGTAATTTATCAAATTAAAATAAAATAATAAATAATAATGCCACTAATAAAAAAGTAAAAAATCACGATTTATTTAAAGATCGGTTAGTTACCATGATACATTTAAAATTACAATAGGTTCCCAAAAACGGAAATTACTTATGACTGAAACTTATAATTAAATATAGACTCAAATATAAACTACCAATATTTACCTATTCAAGAACCAATTAAATCTTTCCAGGCTCAATTATAAACCATTAATATTTATTTGTTTTGTGACGTACGGTGACTGCTAATAATTAAGTATAACTCAAGACTTCAATCTTCAAACCAAAGATAATTAACCATTTCAGAGAATACCTTGTTAGTAGCGTGGCTCGGCTTAACGTCCGGTAAATCCTAAATCAAAACCCAAATCATCGACGCACAGTAATTTACACGAATTCGACTGGATAGTTCAACTTAATAGTCACCTAATAATCACTTCAGTCAGTAGCCTGACATCGCTATTTATACACCTGGCGGAAAACATATATTCATAAGTCCAGAGTGTCACGCTCGAACCTCGGTGTCGGTAGTTATTCATTTTCTTCGTATATGACGATTTATAAATATTTACCTATTACAAACCAAGGAAATGCGTACAGAACAATATATGATATGTAAATATTTTTATTTTTTATATATATATATATATATATATATATATATATATATATATATATATATATATATATATATATATATATATGAATGATCAATATTCATCTATTCTTGAACCAAGTAAATGCTTATTGACACATATATGAATTACCAATATTTACCTATTCACAAAGCACGTAAATTTTTACAGATTTAAATATAATTAATAATTAAATATAATTAAATATAAACAACTTATTTACTTATCCCCAAACTACGTAATTGGTTGTCAACACAACTGATTGACTTATTGATTGGTTCGTTTTTTTACGGCTTATCGACACTTTGCAGGTTATTTAAAGCCAGAAAAAAAATTTTTCGATTGTAAGAATGTTTTTAGAGATAATAATAGTTTTAGTGATACAAATCTTACTAATTAACCCATAGATGGGGAAGAAGAGATAGATTTATACCAAGGGTATTTGTGCGTAAATAAATATAACGAACCCGACTGGAAATGGAACTCGGCTCTCCTTTTAACAATTCGGAGCCATTATCCATTACACGACTTCCACATCCAAGCTTACTTTGGATATTGATATTCCCAAGCGGTTACCCATCTAGGTACTGACTAGGCTCGACGTTGCTTAACATCGGTAATCCTACGGGAACCGGTGTTCCAACATGATGCGACCGTTAGCCCTTATCAACGAAAGTATAATTTGTTTTAAAGATTTCGACATTAACCCTGCGTTAGTCACCTCGGATTTCCGAAAAGTGATAGTCTTCTGGCGTCTGCCTTCCACGACAACTGAGCTACAAGTGCGTCACTCCGCGTGCTACGCGTCCTCAACGAGTCGGGAGCGTAAATTCAATGTATTGAAGGAACACAATCTTTCTCGTCGCATATTTTATCTTTCTGAACCTGGGTCGCTTTAACTTTTTCATATAATTGATTTGAAGTATTCGTTGGAAATTTTAGAAAAAAATATCTTCAACTGAGACAAACAGGATATTCTAAGTGGTGAAAAATAGTTTTATAATTACCTAATAGGCAACAATTACAATTTTGGTTGTTGGTGTGTTTAACCGACCTTTCAGATTGTGACCTTTGAAGAAATGTACCATCAATTGGAATCACTGAAATCACTTTTGGCAAAAGGGGAAACGTTTTTCATTTGCCTGTGGGCCATAAGCCAGACTTTCAGTTGATTCGCAGCAGATGATAGCCTGATGAATTAAAAACGTCTAGCGAAAAAGAACAGAAAAAAACATTATCTAATTTTATGGAGAATGAACTGAAGTGCTGTAACCTTTTTATTTTTTTTTTCTCACCAGTCACAAAAGACTGGATTTTTGATAGATTTTATCATAAACAATTTCAGTAATGGATTGAAAATTTCCGGGGGAATCTTTTGAAGTCGGGCGCCATTAACTGGGCTAACGAAGAGCATTTCTGGCAAGACTCAGAATTAATGGTTTCATTAAAAGTCGTTGGAAGTTCTGAGATAAAAAAGAAATATCATGATTACATAACGAATTTAGACACAAAATTTTACAATAATGGTAAGAGACATAGATAGATAGATAGATAGATAGATAGATAGATAGATAGATTCTGCTATGTATTTATATATTCTTGATAAAATACAAAGTAGACTCCGGAATATTATTGGTCATGTCCTAACATCTGAACTTCAGTCTCTTTCCCACCGTCGTGCGTAACGTAGCTTATCTCTGCCTTTTCTATAAATATTTCCATTGCAATTGTTCTTTAAACGTTGTCCTTATTGTAATGAGTCTGCTGAGTAGGTGCGTTTTCTTCCCTTCCTTGCAGAGGGCCTGAAATAAGTATTTGAAGAAGTTGGACAACGTAAGAATTAAAATTAGTACGAAATTCTACCGCTATACTTTACGAGCAGTTTACCTGGTCGAATTGCTGTGTAGACGCCGCCCAAACGGACTATTTCGAAATAGACTGATGAAACTATGTCTTTTTTTCCGGGCATCTTTCACGAATTTTTAAATGCCATTTTGTTTATTGAATCAAAAAGCTTTGTATGAATGGCCTTATCTTTCCTGTATACTAATATAGACCAGTGTCCTCATTTTGGTTTTTGATAGATGTGAATAGACTGGGATAGATAGATAGATAGATAGATAGATAGATAGATAGATAGATAGATAGATAGATATGGAATAGAATCGTGTCAATTGTTAACTTTCCTCATCTTTATTTCCTACTATCCTCACATCACAGATCTCATTCATAATTATCATTTCGTTTGTAACCCTCTACTTTTTGAACCTTCCAGTCTTCTTCATGTGTCTGTCGTAGTAAGCAAATTCAAACTGAACCCTTTATAGAGTCCATAAGAGTAGATTGTTGTCGTTCCGCCATTTCATGCTAAGGGAGATAATTCGTATCGGTTTAATTCTTCCTAATTAATTTGTCCTTGTGATATCCAGAATATCAATGACGGGGTGATAAGCATCCAGGAAATCTTAAAGAAAATGTCAATAAAAAAACACTTAGGCTAAGAACCAGGAAGAGACAGCTGAAATTCCTTAGACACATAATGCGGAAGGATTGCTTAGAAAACTTGAGGCCCTCATGGCATATTGAGGGTCAGCGTGATAGTTGAAAGCAGCGAGCCATCTACTTGACAAGCTTGCATTCATCCATAAAACAAGATTTCGATGTGGAAACATCTTTTGACATCTCCTTCACACATACCAGAATCTGATGATAAGAGTTAATCGGGCAACTTATCCATCTCTTCTAAGCCATCTTCCCAGAAAGACGCTATTTCTTACTATAAAAAGTATTGTTGATCATTTTGCGATAGAAAAGTATTGTTGGTAATTTTATTATAAAAAATGTATTCTTGGTCATTTTGCTATAAAAATGTATTGTTGGTTATTTTACTTTGAAATTGTGCTATTGATTTTTTTTTCGCGGTCCAATATTTGCCCCTAGCTGGGACCCTAACATGTGCTATCACCACTGGTCAGGATGGATCTGAGAACAACAGCACTTAAAAAGCGGTTCTACGCTTCTCAGAAGCTCCAATCTACCGATCAGAGACATTGCTGACGAATGCAGTTTATCGTCATACCCAGTATGAATTTTTTGACTCATCCATTACAGCTCATGATTTGCCAATGAGAAAGCTACAATCACTTTTCGTGGGAGAGAACTTACCTCCAAGACAGATGAAATGATGTATAGATTTTAATCGCTTTGCCAGACAGGAAATTAAGTGCGTCTTAAAGCACATGAACAGGTATTCATTAACATAAAGATTCCGCTTCCTGCTTTCTATAGTCTGTGAAATAACGATTTAGTCATTTTACCTGCAAAATTTCCACAGCCATGGGTATAATGTTGAAAATGCTAATGGAGAGACTCCGACAGATGGCTCTTACCAGTTTGCAGGCCGATCACGGCTAGAACAGCAACTAACTTACAATATCGTATCTGTAGGATCCAATGCAGGAGGGCTATGCCTTTTGAGACAGAGAAACATTACAGAAGATATTTTTTAAATAACGTCTTTCCGGGTAGATGACTTAAAAAAGGTGGATAAGTTGCCTGATTTAATTCATATTATTAGATTCTGGTATGTCGAAAAGAGATGTCAAAAATAACATTTCCAAGACATCAAACGTAACCAAACGAATAAAAAAAGAGAAAATGAAAACTTACAATTTAGAACTTTCTTTTTAATGGCGTGGGTAAGGATACAGAAATCATCATTGATTGATTTGTTCTTTACGGTTTATCAACCTTTTCTGGGTTATTTAAAGAAGATTCATATTTTAGATTGCGAGAACACTTATTTTGGTTTTGCAAATGAAAATTACATTAACAATTCGTGAATAACACTGACTTTTCCAGATACAATTTCTACTATTTAATCCCTTTTGCGAGATAGAAATTAATTCATACATTTCCGAGGGGTATTTACGCATAACTGACTGCAACAGACCTGAATCGGAGACCGATTTCTCATTCCGAACCGATAGCCATTACACAACACTCACATTCATCCAAATCCAAGATGGATGTCTGTGAAGAATGCATCCATTTTGTTTGAGCTCAACGGATAACTCCATACATTAACCAACTTTCATTATTTTACAAATAAAATACACATATTAACACACACACACACATATATATATATATATATATATATATATATATATGTGTGTGTGTGTATATACACACACACACACACACACACACACACATATATATATATATATATATATATATATATATAAAGAAAATAATGTGAAACTGAGAGGAAGATAAAATATAGCTGAATGATTATTTTCAATGTTAGGTAAATATAATTTAGAACTTTCCTTGTAGGATTTACATACTGCATTATCTGAGTGTAAGTGAATGAAGAAAACAATGGAGAGAGGCCAGTAATGTCCCCCCCACACACACACACAGACCCCCACACCCGAAGACAAAACCAAAGTTTCGAGGTGGAAAACGGAACAAAGTCAAGTTAGTGTGAATTTGTGAATTTAGGAGATAAGGTCGACAAAGAATTGAAGACGAAGTTAAGAATATGAAACGACGGAAATCAATAATGCTGAAGTGAGAACACAGATTGCAGTATGAGAGAAAGGGTAATGTATAGCGATGTGATGGGAGGGAAATGAACACAGGTGGATAGATAGTTAAGAAGAAGCTAATTTAGATAGATAGATAGATAGATAGATAGATAGATAGATAGATAGATAGATAGATAGATAGAGGGACAAAATATGAACAAACTTAGATAGATAGATAGATAGATAGATAGATAGATAGATAGATAGATAGATAGATAAGGAACAAAATATGAACTAACTGAGATAGATAGATAGATAGATAGATAGATAGATAGATAGATAGATAGATAGATAGATAGATAGTGCTTTGTCTGCATGGGTAGGCATTTTCGGCTCCAACAGGATTTCTTCCATTTGGAGAAGTAGGACAATTTCACCCACCTACACACTCTCAGGATGAGGATCATGATTGCCTTGAATTTGATCCCGTGCTTGAATCCACCACCCCGGCTAAACCTTCGCACTTGTGTTTTGTGCTCGAGTCAAAAAGCACATATGAGAACCCTCTAACTGACTTCTTCCCAGAAAGTGAGGTACAAAGTGTGTTGGAGAAATATTCAGTGTAGAGTCGCTGGGGATAAGAGAAAAAGAAGAGTTGTCCAACCATGACGAACAGATGGTTGAGCTCTTCCGACGACCCATCGACTTCAAGGATAATAAGTATTATGTACAATTACAATGGGATTCCGACAAGATACCTTGTGTCCCTACCAACCAGTCTGTGGCCTTACGCGTATTGAACCGTGTGATGCGGAGTATGAAATATGATCATCTTCATCAGGATTATTTTGGGGGTGTTCCGCCAACAGAAACGTGACGAAATAATATTGTCGTTCCTCCTCAGCGGTTTAAGGAGCATATTTTGATTCCACACGGGCCTGTCCTGAAGTCAGATCCTACCTCCACCACTAAAATTGGACCGGTATTCAACTGCAGCCTCAAAAACTAGTGATCCCCCTTTCCCTTAACGAGGCTACCTACCAGGGAGGGAACCTTACAAGTGACCTGTTAGATTTATTGCTCTCCTTTCGAGGAAATAACCGCATCGTATTGGCAGATATCGGGAAAGGCTACCCAACGATCCATCTGGAACAGAAATCCGACAAGAACAGGTTCTGCTTCTTCCTAAAGGACATAGGTCGCCTGCGTTATTTCAGGTAAACCACAATCATTTTTCGTTTCACGTCTAGTCCCTTCATATTAAATTGTACCCCCCACTGCTGGATCCTTGCAGACATAATGAATAATCGGTTTTATGTAGACAATCTGGTGATGACCGGTGATGGTTCAGATGAGATGTGCAATCTGTATGTCTTCTTCAGGAAACGATGGCAATAGCAGAGGGGCTCGAGCTGCAGTTATGCAACTCTGTGTAGATACCCGGGACAGAATGGAGGAGGATGGTAACCTGAGCAATCATGGAACTGATTAGGAGAAGGTGCTGTAATATCGGTAGAGTCTGCTCTCAGACACGCAGCGTATTCGCTCCCATTGAATGCGATCCTAATGCTTCTACAACGAGGCAAATTCCTCCTGAAGTAGTAAGACTCTTCGACAACTTGTTTCTATACTTGCCTGTCTAGTTACGAGGTCGGATCCTGTTACGTAAGCTATGGGATGGAATGGGATTATCAGGTTCCACGGGAGTTTTCATCCCGGTGGAAGAGCCCTTCATCTGACCTCTTTGGATTAGGGACCGGAAGTTTGGCTTTTGTCCAATCAAGTTCTGTCTTCTTCGAATTCTCTCTCTCTCTCTCTCTCTCTCTCTCTCTCTCTCTCTGGTTGGAGGTGGCTGAGAAAGAAGTATCCAAACTATTAAAACCTGCCTCCACAACGTGGTTGGCCAAGGTGAAGTAGATTATTTCACCCTACTAACCATTATACCTACGCACAAATAACCTTGGGAAACGTATAAATCTATCTCTTCTCACGCAACTATGGGTTAATTGGTAAGACTTGTATCCATAAAACCATTATTATCTCTAAAAATCTTACAATCGAAAAAATATTTTCTGGCTTTAAATAACCTGCAAAGTGTCGATAAACCGTAAAAAACGAACCAAATCAATCAGTTAATCAGTTGTGTAGACGACGAATTAATTAGTTTGTGGATAAGTAGACAGTAGTTGTTTATATTTCAATCTGTAAGAATTTACGTGTTTTGTGAACAGGTAAATATTGGTAATTCATATATGTGTCAATAAGCATTTACTTGGGTCAGAATAGATGAATATTGATCATTTATATATATATATATATATATATATATATATATATATATATATATATATATATATACTACAGTTTTCCTATTGTCATTTATATATATATATATATATATATATATACAGTTTTAAGGAGTGCTATATTTATGGGATAAAGTGTTCAATATCAGAGATAGATATGTGATAGTGCTCAATATCAGAGATAGGCTGTTTCATGCTAGACTCAATCGCCAGGCGACCTGACGATTGCGTCTTGCATGAAACAGTCTGTCGCCTCTGAGTGTTGACTTCAATATTCACTTATATATATATATATATATATATATTTATATAATATTTACGTATCATATATTGTTCTTTAAGCTAAATATTTATAAATTGTCATATACGAAGAAAATGAGTAACTACCGACACTGAGGTTCGAACGTGACACTCTGGACTTATGAATTTATTCAAAGGGCTGTCAACAACCGCTGCCTCACTTATCGGGAATCTGAGGAGAGAGCTGGAAGCAATAACACCTAATATGTTTTTGAGGCCTAATAAGAATCTTGAACCTGATAGGGATTTTGATCCCCTCATGTCAGCCAGCCGAGAGAGAGACTCCTCAGAACCGTGTAGGTGCGGAACCAATGCCTAGGAAAATGTAGGGCCTTATGGTACGATGAATACCTGTTAAGCCTCAGAGAAAGGCCCCAGGGTCGTTCTCGGGTGCCATTTCAGAACAAACAGAGGGTTGGGGACGTGGTCCTAGTCAAGAGCCTTCTTAAACCCAGACCTTTTTGGGTTCTTGGGATTGCGACGGAGGTGATTACTGGAGAGGATGGTGTTGTCAGGTCATCTAAGGTCAAACGGGAAGGTGGTGTAGCGCAGGTCCACTCCTTGAAACACGTGTTTCCTCTTGTGCTGTCCCTATCAGCTGACAGGGAAGATCAAGTCGGAACTATACCCTTGTCTACTAGTGTACATGCAGTAGATCATACCCCTATCCCTCCTGGAACCTCGTCTTCTGAGGAAGGGGACGTTGTTTGGCACTGTCGGGTCTACAATGCCCCGCAAGGTGATCGAGCAATGATTTGCTGTAACAGGTGTGATGACTGGTGTCACTTCGGGTGGATGGGAATCAAATCTTCTACATCAAGACCAAAACGGTACGGTCTGGATTGTGCTCCTCTGAAGCGGTGGTGGAATAGGCCTAGTCTCCTTCCAGAGTAAGTTGATGCGCCAATATACCAAACAAAAAAAATACAATTCTTACTAATATTATTAAATGTTTTTTTGGTAAGGCACTGTAGATCCCTACAATCTATTTTTTTTTTCTTCAGTTTCTCGGGAATATGTGGAGAAATTGATTGTTGGTCCGACGGAAAAGGAGCGGTGTACTTACCTTGTGTTGTTGAAATACTTACTAAGGAAAAGGATTGTTATTTATGTACTAACCCTTTAGAGTTGCAGCGATCACGTGACTGGGTTACCACGTGATCACTGAAGTTGCATAAAAGGATAGGAAATCTGTCGCTTTTTATTATGAAAATTAACTTCCATGTTATTAGACGGTTATACGTCGCGGAAAAGTGACAATATATTTCGCAAGTTAAGTTAAACAAGATTGTAATCGTGTAGCGATTTTTAACACGTTTTTGTTTTAATAACCTAAAATAAATATTATACACACACACACACACACACACACACACACACACATATATATATATATATATATATATATATATATATATATATATATATATATATATAAGGCGTAACAGCAAAATAGTCCAAATTGAACATCCCACAATATGTTTAATATCTAAGAAACCACTAAACTAGGGGTCATCATTTCAACTTAGAGCTAAAGAGTCAATTGGTAAAGATGCAACTCAATCCATAAGATGTATGGGATGTGAGCGGAAAATTTCAGCTATGACAGTCTAAAAAAGCAATGAAAAAAGACTTGAAAATGATGAAAATTCCAGTAAGATATCTTTAATCATTTGTAAGATACATCGGTTCAAAGCTTAATCAAACAATTGGACAATTTTGCTGTTGCACGATTTAGACAATTTTGCAGTGTGTCGCTATCCAGAAGTTTCAGCCATGTTTCTCTATGGTATTTAAATGTTAAATGAGGGCGGTTTTGGAGGCCTTAAGATTTACAAGCCGTTTCCTGCCCCAGTCAACCACTGATTGGAGTCTGATGTTCAACTTGCCAAATAGTTTTTACTTATTTGGTAAGTTGAACGTCAGACTTCAATACATCTTACGAAATAATGTAAAAAAAAAAAACTGTATTTGTCCATAGGGAAATTTTGTAGGATTTATATACAAACAACTTCGTGCCATGACCTATATTTTAAAAAATATTCCGGTGGGATTGAATTTAACGTAAATAATCTGTAAAAAATGTTATAAGTTTAATGTACCTAGTTTTAAGTATAGCTAAAATAACTAATGTGATTTCAGGCATTACTGTAAATCAGTTGGCAAATGTTTTCCGTAAACTGCAAAATCGCATTACCCTTTGTATTGCTAATGATAGAGGACATGTGGAAACTTAAATAAAATTTCAATAAAACCTTAAAACATATAGATTTACTTCTTTATAATCCTTTTTTTCTTTTTTTAAAGTGCACGCGAACTTTATGGACACCCTATATATATATATATATATATATATATATATATATATATATATATATATATATATATATATCGCATATAGACAATCATCGCCTGAAAATTGCGTTGTGCATGAGATTCAGAGTTGTGCTCCCAGTGAAAAAAATCTATATTTATTATTAATATATATATATATATATATATATATATATATATATATATATATTTCAAAATCTTAGTTACCTACCTTGACGTATGTCGTATGTTTACATCATAAAATTTCAAAATCGTAATCGTACTTAGCGTTTTTCACTTCACAATTAAAAATTTTATTTTTTGATGAACACAACAATTTTGTCTTAGAAATATGAACACATTCATTTATCAAACTCGATATTCTGAAGAAAGCTGGAAAATTAACTAGTTGAAACGTCGATATATACAAAAATCTCTGAAACTTATTAAACGCGATATTCTCACGGAGAAGGCCGAAGAATGAACCGGTTGTAACGCGGCTACAAACTAAAATAAAAATTTTAAAATATGAAGATTCTAATGTGACTCATTGAATGAAGTCGAACCTCAGAAATAGTCACTGCTGTTCTGACTCCTTGTTAGTTCCATTCCCGCCAAGTCATGCAAGCCTGAGACACAATGGTAGTTAATTAAAGAATCCGAGTTACATGTGGCTGAACTGGGAAGGACGAAGTGGGTATGAGATATTTCCGTCTCACCCTCAACACTATTTTCCAATGACCTTTTCTACTCTGATCCAAATGTATGTTCAGACACACACGCACAATAACAAAGGTATGAGGAGATAAAAAAAAAAGCGAACCGCCATTTTCTTTAGAACTTTTTGCTTTTGCCTCTGCAATTCATAACATTATACACACAGACATATATATATATATATATATATATATATATATATATATATATATATATATATATATATATATATATATACATACTTATTTCGCTACCTTGACATCGTTATCAACGAAAAATGATATTCCAAAGTGTAAGGAAAATATCAGGAATAAAACGATAATTTTCTGTACTGAGAGTTTTATAATTCCTACTTTAGGTGTGTATTAAAAGTATTTTCGTTATTTAATGCTCAACATTATCTTTCGATGAATCTAGTTCTTCGGCAAGTTTTCCTATGGTGTTTGCCCGGCTCTGCTTTGCTTCGTTTAATGTATTATCGTCAACGCAAAAAGCTCAAAAATAGAAAGATTTTTTAAAAATTTTTTTGATAGTTTACAACGAAGAAGCTTTAAGCTAACGAGTGTATTCTTACAAGACAATGCGCTTTCACATTTTGCAAAGCTTAGTTTTACGTACGTCGCCAAAAAAGTTTTCAAAGACATCATCTTAATGGAATGGCGCCTAGCTTCTCCAGATGCTAATCTAGGCAACTCAAAAGATTTGCTAAAAAATGCCCCTACATAATGAAAAAAATGCCCAAAATTTAACAAAAACAATGTTTTATCATCAAAATCTTTATGCTATTAAGAGGAAAGATTAGAGGATTTTTTATCTATTTTTTAATTCATATTAGAACCTTCCAAATTTTGGTTAAAAATCTTTTTTCTCTAGCGTCAACGTCAACTTAATAAGGGAAATTTGAACTTCATTTTGCGGTGAAAACACATTGATTTGAAAAATCTTGAAAAACTCAGATAATTGTCGAATTTTAATGAATCTTCCAGGAATTATTCAGAAAAGAATGAAATTATTTTTAAATGTTTTTTTTCTTAGAAAATCTTGAAAAGATTTTTTTCCATTTGTTACCTCCCACATTTAATTTTATTAAATTTTGATAAATTCTTTTTTTATAGCGCTTCATGTTTATATTAGTTACAAGAACAAGTCCTAGGAGAATTTAAGTTGCCATTTGCAGAAAATCTGCTCTAAATTTATTAGCTTGAAATTAAAACTAAAATGAAAGCTTCAAGAAAGATTTTTCATTTTTCTAATGCATTTTAAACTTTAGATAACGCTTTTTTGGGGGTACCTATATTAATCCAATTAGGAAACGGTGGTCCATCGTTAAGAGAATATGTATTTTAAGTTAAAATTCATCAAGTACACGGCCCAAGAGACGCTCAAGATAGACTGTTACTAAATGAGATTTGTGAGGTGAACGTAGGAATAGAAAATAGGAAGTGAAGATTATGATGATATGAAGGATAGATAACGACTGACCCCAGCCCTGAAGGAGTGAAGATTGCAGTATTCGAATAAACATCCACGAGTTACTTTTTGACAAAGAAGCGGTTCTTGGGAAGGACCTTTCGGGTTGGAAAGTGCTTTATATTCATACCAAATGAATGCGCTGGGAACGAAGATGATAAATCTCAAGGTAGGACTTGATTGTAAAAGTTTGAAGTAAAGAACGAAGCACGTTGGAACATTTGCCATGGATGTAGCGATATAGTAACGTGAGTTTTGTGACTTTGCGTCTGTGCGGAAAGCGGTTGTAGGGCGGGAAATCAATCACTCCCTTTCCACCGAAACCGCGTAAATGTTTTCAACTCTGGCAAGAATGGAAAATAAAGATTAGGCAGATCCAACCCAAATATGGCAACGATATTCCATTTTTACGGTCAAATCACACTGAAGCACCGATTCTCGTCTGATTATAGTAGTTAAGCAGTGTCGAGCCAGGTCATCACTTAGATGGGTGACCGCTTGGAAGCACCGAGTACTATAAGCGAACAATGGGCATTGGCCTAGCAACGTCATACCGTAAAACGTTATTTGCTATGGAAACCACAATAGTAATGTTTAGTGTTGACGACAGCTGTGGCTCCATTTTCTTCTGTTGAGTCTACGGGACTAAAAGACGCGACCTCAATTTTTGGTCTGCTCTGATTCTTCCAAGGAATAGCAGGAATCAGGAACTTTCTGGAACGGCATAAGACTGGAAAGTAATATTCAATGCAAGAAGATATCTAGGAAGCAATGAAATTTACTTCCGGTAATGCATAAAGCAAAATGGTAAAAATCCAAGGTTGAAAGACAGAAGTTTATAGAATGTCAAGGTATCAATATTAGAACACAAAATAATAAAATAAAAATGTTTTACGTATATTGAGTATGGTATTAAATGTATATTTTTATGGCCTATATCTTCCGTGTGTATTTATTAAGAAAAAAATGCATGTTACACTTAGCATATTTACGGAGCAGCAGCTGACGAATTATCCTTATTTCGATTATACCTAGGCATTTACTCTATCTCCTCACTAGTACGAGTTGTGACACAAAGTCTTTTTTTAAGGTGGGCACCCAAGCGCGTACATCCGGACAAGGAAAAAAATTGCCCGCAGCACAACACCCCCCCACCGTCGTTTGCGCTGGTCTCGGTGCGATCACCAATCCCTCTCTCTGGTGCAATGAGAGGGCGCGGCCTCGGGCAGCTGTTCCACAAGGCTGGGCAACTCTCAGTATAATTTTCCTCAGCTTCTAGGAGTAAAGTGGAAAAAGTGTAACACATTGACATTCGCATTTCTTCATATAGAAGAATATGAGATATTAAATAGTCAAAGAATTGTGTCCCTTTAATTGAAAAAGTGTGACAGAGA